ACTACTATATGTAATTAGAACGTTTTCTAGATCGTCTTTAACTATAGTCTAGTAAGTAGCGTAAAACACTATAGCTATAGCTAAATAAGCTAATTACTATACCTCTTATTTAGTATTATTTCTTATATCTTCCTTAGTTATATAACGTAATTAGGATTAAGTTATTTAGGTAGTTTTAAGGTTGATTAAACGTATAGAGTCTTAAGCTTAATCTAGAGCTAGAGCTAGAGCTACCTTTAGCTTATTCTTTAAACCCTTTAAGCGCCCCTAGCCGTACTTAATAGCTACTAAATCAGGTAAGGCAGTAGTCAACTAATCTTAGATCTGTTTAGTAGTAGAGTTAGTATTAGTTAATAGATTAATATTAGTAGTAGTAAGAGGCGGTCTCTTAGCTATTTTAGCTACTTTAGCTAGATCTTAATCTTTAACTAGCTTTTAATCTTTAGCTTTATCTATAGCTTTATCTGCCCTTATTAAATCTATAAGTAGATTAGTTAGTAGGTACAGCTTAGCTAGTAGTAAGCTATTATCTAACACTTTTAATATAAAGCCGCCTTTATTAAATCTTACGTTTAAGGATCTAACGATTTTATAAGCTCTTAAGAGTATATAATAGTAGTAGATTTAGTAGCCTTTAAATCTAAGAAGGATTTCTTTCTTAGTACGCTTATTAAACTTCCTTAACTTAACTTGTCTTTACTTTAGGATCTAAACATAGACCTTATAGCTAAGTACCTGTAAGTAGGCTACTAACGGTTTGTTGTCTTGATTTAGGTGTAACTAATCTATAAAGGCTTAATATAAGGTTTTGCCCTTAACAGCTAATGTAGCTGTCTTATTTATAATATAGATTGTCTCTTTAAGTAACTCTAGCTATAGCTCTTTAAGAACATCCTAATTAATTATAGTAGATTATAGCTGTCTAGCTATAATCTTGTTTATAATCTTAGATACGCCTAGTTACTTAGAGGTATATAGTATAGTCTCTTTAATATAAATCCCCTTTACTTTATAGACGTTAGTTAACGCGATACTACTATATTTGTTACTACTATTAACTATTAATACAAGGATCTTAAAGAGAGTAAACTAACGCTCTGTTATGTTAACAAAACTAAGGATCTTATTATAAGCCTTTTCTTTCTTCTTATAAGGATATCCTTATCTAGTACGCGTAGCTGTATCTATTATAATAGTAGTGTAGTACTTACTACAGAATCTAATTAAGGTAACCTCTACTATATCTATACTTACCTCTTAGAGTATAATAGTAGGCTAGTGTTTAATAGAGCGTCTAACTAAGTGTAGTAGCTTAGACAGCTTGTAGGGCTTATATAGAACTATAACGCTAAGATCTATATCTATAGGTTTGTCTATAATCTATATACTAGTAGTAATCTCTATAGTTTTTTAAACGTTATTAAAGCCTAAGTACCCTAATCTCTTGTACTATAGTTTAATACCTAGCTTACCCTATTAAAGAGTAGCTAGTAGCGCTATAATATAATAGCTAGGCACGTCTAACTATAGATATACCCTTATATTATTAACCTTATAGAGTATAAGCGTCTCTCTTTCTCTATCTAAAAGGGCTCTTTTAGTAATAGATCTACTATAGCGTAAGAGCTTAACTCTTAATAAGAGGTTAATAGAAAAGGTTAGAATAAATAGAACTCTCTTTAGCCGTAGTTTATAATACTAATCGCCTTTTACCTTAGCCTTTAGAACAATATTACTATAACCCTCTAGTTAGATTAACCTAGCGCCTGTTAGAACAGGCTATAACTACTTAGTTACCTTAAAACTATAGTAGATTAACTTATTGTTATATATATAGTAAGTTACTCTTATATTAAGGTACTAATTCCTTTTTTAAAACTCTTTTTAAGTAGCTAACCTAAGCGCTACCTTTAACGCCCTTAGGCCTAGCACGCTATTAATCTACGGCTACTAATCACTTACTATATAGAGTAATATAGCGCCTTATAAAGACTCTTTTTAGTTCTTTCTTTTTAGACGCTTTTCTAAGAACGTAGTCTAGTAATTGTCTTTATTCTTTATTATATAAAGTTTACTATAGTAGTAACATTACTTTCTCTTAAGCTTCTTCTTATCCTTATCCTTATCCTTACCTTTATTACTCTTGTTATCCGGCTTTCTACTATATAGCGATACTAATAATAGTACTAATCTATCCTTTATCTAAGCTTTGTCTCTAATCTTTATAATTAATGTATTAAGTAATAAGGTACTCTTTTTACCGCTCTTTTATAGGTTTTAAAGGGATTAGTGTCTTTTAGCCTATTAAGGAAAGGCTTTTATAAGTCGATTAATAAAGATAATAGCGTATAAGTAGTCGCTCTTAGGCGCTATATCTAGTTAAGTAGCTTACTCTAATCAAGTTATAAAAGTGTTAATAAACTTCTTTATATTATTATAATCCTTATACTTAAGTAGCCAGAACTTATCTACTGCTTAGTACTATTAAGTAAACTCTTTACCCTTATAGTAATTAGCTAGCTTAGTCTATATAGCCTCTACTAAGTCTACTTTTACTATAAGATTAAGTATAAGAACTAATAAGATGTTCTCTTTAATAACCCGGCACGTTACTACGTTACTAGCTCTTTATTTGTTATATTAGTCCTACTCTTTCTTTATAGCCTTAGTATTACTATATTTAACAGCCTTTAGTATAGAGTAGTTCTTAGATATATATTTGTTAAGTCTATTAGCTTTTAATATATTAGATACATCTAACTTCTAAGTATAGTAGTTACTCTTACCTTATAGCCTCTTACTACTCGTAAGTATAGTTAATAAGTTAGACATCGTGATTAGTCTAAGGGTTCTATAGATATAGCTGTTATCTCCTTCTCTTAACTCTATAATCTAGTCTAGAGCTCTAGTTTAATCTTTAACTAGCGCACTATAATTAAAAACAGGCCTTACTATAATAAATCTTACGATTAATAGATAGATCAAATCCGAATTTAGTAATAGAGGAGATCGAATAGTATTACTACTATGTTATACAGGATATTTAATCTATTGTTATATTATAGGAACTAATGAATTAAATTAACTAAGTAAAGTAATCTTATAAAGTACTTTTATAGCTATAGTAAATAACTAGGAATTTTAGCGGGTTACTAACCCTGATTAGGTTAGACTAGAGTCCTAGTCCCGTGACTAATAACCTTATGTAGTAGGCTAGTGGTTTCTTATAACACTAATTACTAACTTAAAACTAGAACCTAATAACTATATACTCTTCTTAGTTTAGTAGTAGCTTAAGACTTGTCTCTCTAGCCTTATAGTAATAGCTAGAGACTTACTCTATATTCCTCTTATAAGTATTAGTATTAAGTACCTCTTTAATTTTTTACGTAATATATATAGCTATTATTATAGCTAACTTAAACCTTTAGCTATCTATACTCTTATATTAGTTTTTTTCTCTTAACTTTAAGAAGAGTAAAGTAATAAGCTTAGAAGAATACTTTTTAATACTATTAATATTAATAGTATAACTAAAGAAGAGATAAAAGCTAAGCTAAAAGAGTAAGAAATATCTATTAACTTACGTCTAAAGAAAGTTAATATATAAGTAGTAGATTACTATATTAGTAATAAAGAAAGAGAACTAAACTAGCTAGGCTATTAAGCGTAAATACTATAGACATAAAGACGCCTTAATACTATTATATATAAGAGGCTCTTATAGGCTTGTTTTATAGCTTAAGATAATACTTAAGTACTCTTTATGTCTATATATAAAATATATAGTATATAAATAGTAGAGTATAAAAAGAGGAATACTATATAAGATCTATTAATCTATAATCTACTAGAAGACCTTAAGGATAAGGACATTCTTAAGCTAGTAGTTAATAAAGATCGTAATAGTATAGAGTTAGTTTTACTAACTCTACTTCTAAGATCTAAGCTAGAGACTCTTAAAGGTATTAATATACTAAGAAAATAAGTATAAGAATTATAAGATAAAAGATCTATTTTAGATTACGTAATAAAGTAGGTAAAGACTTAAGGATAGTAGAGCCTAAGTACTAAAATAAATATATATAAAACTATTTTAATTTATTTATTTTATAATCGTTTAAACTTAGGATAACTATACTAATCTTTATACTAATCTTTATACTAATCTAAGTAATCTTTATACTAATCTTTATACTAATCTTTATACTAATCTTTATACTAATCTTTATACTAATTAATAATTATAACCTTAGGTATTACGTAAGTATAAAGGTACCTTAGTACCTTAAGATATACTATACCTATAGGTTAGGTCTACCTTATAGGTTAGGTCGTAGATTTATTTAGGGACCTATAGGTTAGGTCTTATTTACTATAACCTACCTTATAGGGTAGGTACCTAACCTATTTAGTAGGGACCCATAGGTTTCTGCGCAGCCTAGCGACAATACAACAGGCCATCCTTTGATGATCCAAGTATCGTGAATAAATGTTGTTCTAAGGCACAGCGGAGCGCGAATGATAGTGTAGCCCAGTGATCTTGTGGGTGGTGGTTGCGACTGTATCTGCTGAGTACTACTCTGGGCAAATAAGGGTGGCTAGGCATATGGAGATAGTATTCTGAATTTCTGATTTACTTGTCAGCCATATAGAGCTGGTGGTTGGTGGTAGTCCGGCCTTGCGATCTTCATGCCAAGCATCATACTTTTCTGACAAGACTAACTTCCCCGTTATAACCCAAAATCAGCATTTTCTGACACTACAGACCAACGCATTCCAACTGTGGAGTAAATCTCCTGCAGCACAGCCTAATTACTGTATGACCCGATCATCTATCTGTGACAGTATGTATCCGACAAGTTAGTAATGCTGCAGAGATCAGCCAACGATATTCCAAAAGCCGAGGCATCAACATAAGCCATCTAGAATATATATAACACATCTAGCCGTGGGCCTCTTGAGAACCTGCAAAAGATTATTAGCCTACTACAGCAGCCATGTCAACGACGTATGTATCTAGCCTCTTCATCACAACGTAACTCCTCGACCGTCAACCTCGGTTGAATGCTAGATCGCTGACTTAATATCGCCCTGCACAGACCAGAGCAGAAACTTGTCGAGCTGACCAAAAGAACCGGCCATATCGACGAGGCCAAAATTACAGCCGTATATGATCAGCTGAAGCCAGTGACGAGAGAGTTCCTCCTCGGGGAGTGGAAGGGTGGCAGTTTCGACACAGGTCACTCAACACACAAACTGCTGGAAACCAATAACTGGGCCGGCAAGAACTTTCGTTCTGTGGATGATGTAGATCCAATTGTGCTCTACGAGGAGGAAGGAAAACGGGTTTGGTGCGAACAGTATGGGCATGCGCAAGTATGTAAGGCCCGATAAACCATGTTTTGTTCAAGCCTCAATCTAACATATGCATTGGTGCTACAGTTGCGGGAAGTTAAGTACCGTGGAATCGTTTCGGCTGCTATGATCTACGATAATTTCCCTATTATTGATACTTTTCGATATGTCTCGCACGATGTTGTGGTCGGAGCCATGGATAACAAGTTGACGCCTGATGAGGGAACATATTTCTTTTACCTTACAAAGATCAAATGAACCACCTAGTCATAATTATAACGTAGTTCGTTCAATCTGAAAAGGAATAGTGTTCAACGAATCAAACAATTAATCTATTTGTCGTTTAGAATGTGCTCTTACTTTGGAAATTCACTATAGCTATTAGATATTATAGTATAGATGCTGCTAGTATTAAGGTAAATAAGGAACCAGGTAAGTCAGGTAGGGAGCGGGGGGGGGACGTATAAAAAAGGTTGGGGCGACGTATCGCTTGCTAATAGTGCCTTACTACTTAAAATCGATAGTACCGTCTAAAAGTACCAAGGAATGTACTACCGACCCCTGCCAGAACCCTAAGAAAACAAGGTCTGAATAAGGGGTAGGCTACGGACCCCTACCCCTTGTTCAGACCCTTGTTAGTGGCTCGCAGGGGTCGATAGTCTAAGACAACAAGGCCTGAATAAGGGGTAGGGCATTCATCCAGCTGATTCTGAAAGTCGAAGACAGTATCGGCGCCTCTCTCTACACCGCGACCTTAATATTTACAGCCCGACATAAGAGATAGCTTAACGTAAAAATATACCCTGGACATTAAACTATGCGACTAGTACCACTAGTAAAACTGTACTGTATGGCATTCCTGCTGCTATCTGTGGATGTCTGTTCCGCATATCAGTACGCAACGCAGAAGAACACGTACATGCTTAAAGTTTAGGGGTTATTGTGCTGTCATGTAGGTCATCGACACTGGCATTGAGCCATTCGGTAATTCCACTGTCCAGACCTTGAATAGCCGATGGATTATGCGCTTTGAAACATGGCCCTTGTTCATCATCCACTTCAAATGTATCCTTCGTCAGAGAATTACATTATATTCTATTAATGCTCTTATCTATCCGTAAAACCAACAACCAGCAAATGGAATATGCAGAAGTCTATTATACTCCTCGTGCCTTTTCCCTATACAGTTTCTGCTGACGATCCATCTCTACCTTTACCCAATAGAACGAAACTGCAGACCAAATAATAATGTAAGTAAAAAGAATGCCGAGCGTTAATCCAAACGCGTAGTGGAACTCCAGAGTCCAAATCACTGCCGAAACACACCCAATGTAGACAGAAACGCCGAAAATCCACCAAATTGTAAGATATACAAACATCCTTCTAAAGGCCTTCGACGCATTGTATCGCGCATTGTATCGTACCCGAAACCCCCGATCTTGTAGGCCGTCTACAGCAATGAAGTCTTCAGCTGCGTAGTATATGAAAGGTCGTAGAGGGGTTCCTCTTGCGTGTGAGTTGATACCAATTGGGGTTTTGATTGGTATTAAGGTGGCAACCATCAAGACGCCAAGGAACGCCATAAGAAAGCTTGGGGAGTAGAGATAGAGTTCGGGGATTGCCATAGTACTACCAACGACAAACGGGATCAAGGCGCATATCATGGCTACCGCGTAGACCCAAGATGTGGCGTCGAGCTCCCATCGTGACCGTGATAGAAGCGGAGCGCAATCTTCCGGGTGATAGAGAAGTCGACAGATACGGGCAATCAGTATATAGAGCTCGCCCAAACCGAAGGAAATAATAGCATAACCAAGAATGTCCTTGTTGAATTGGGATAGTGGGACCGGACATCTCTCGCCCCGGCTGGTATACGGTCTGCAGGTATTCTCCCATCGAGATCGATGAACGTTGAACCATGCGTAATAGATTATACATGGAACCACGAGGTCGAAGAATAGTATGATGGGTGGTCCGATGGTTATGGAGAGGTGGTCTGTCGGTTTGGGATTCTTCTGCGCAAGCTTTTCGTATTCTGGGGGTAACGATGATGACGGCCTCGGCGGCGGCGGTGCTGTCTCTTTGTCTTCGCTCAGTACCACTAAGGCATTGTCGTTTCCTCCATGACTACGATCGCTGTCTACTACGGTCTCGTCTCCGCTTCTTTCAGCTTCAGTGGTGGAGTGATTATCATGGTCGTCCCCTTCCGCATCGCCCTTATCGACCGTGTTGAAGGATGTCATAGAGACTTATGAGTGAATCTGTCTGATTGTAAGGTTTTAGCCATGGTACATGTCTGAATGAAGGTGTCATGCTAGGGTATGACTTCATCTCAACTACCTTTGGGGGGGAAATGAGAGCATAATCCTTACTGGTACTGCAGTATAGAAACGCATGGCATGAGCAGCGTTTCTCAACAGAAGAGATGTCCATGATGCCAGGAATGTTTTGGAAGGGATCAGGCGAAAACAGTAGTGTCATCAAAAAAAGTCGCTCTGGTCGACCCAACTACCGGCCCTTGTAAAAAGTGCCGAATTTCCCGAACACCGAACACCGACCTGTCACTCATCGCGATCAATTGGTTAATTAGGAAATTATTGTCAGCTGATCAAACAGGGCAAACCAATAGTGAGACTACGCTATTCTCACATGGCCAGTTCTGTTCAGCGTCTGGTCGTCTGTGTTGATACCCTTGATCACATTATTCATGAGTCGCGAGAGCGGGCCATACCGCCTCAGGGTCCAGACCAGTCGTGATACGCGAGCGCCCCCAAAATTGTTATTCGAGCCCCCCCCCTTTTTGCCTCCGGCTGAAACTACGTCATTTGCTCTTCTTATATAGTATCCAGGTATCATTCCTCTCTCTAGACCTTCGGCATTTGATTATTAATCTCTGCAAGCTACGTATTGTCCAGACCATCTCTGTGTTGGTCAATTGCCACTTCGTGAGCCGCCACAGCGAGGCTAGACTTCCTCCCTCTCAAGCGATTCCGGGCCAGGCATTCTCCAGCTCTTCACTCTTCCCGTCCATTCGTCGGGTAACAATTTGTACGAGACCTGCCTGAGAGGTCATGGTTCTAACATACCTATCCATCCATCGAAGTGTCCAAATCTATGTTCGCGTTTCATAAACATCGAGGCTGAATTGGCGTGCAAAGAAGACATGCTAGAAGCTTGAGCCTTGAGCTGAATATGTTGTCTGTACAGTACTGTTGATGAGTACATGTACAGGGCGAGTGTATCCATTTTCAGCCCGTATGCATTGATCATGGTGCTTCCTCTTAGCGGATTTGTCGAACGTTCTGTCAACTATCTACACAACTTTCATCGGCTGCAAGTTATTCCAAGATCTGCCCCCTTGGCCAGTGTCTGACCTTGACTAAGTGGCATATTAGTTTTCAAATGGCCTTTCTCGCAGAATCAAGACCTATCACCCTCTTTCAACGATGGCACAAACCAAGGTATTTACGTCTCGGAGTTGAACCGTCACGCCTCGCGCTTTTGCTACGTCCCGGGTCCCCAGCATATAGAACTGGTGACACAGTCACACAGTTCATTTTCTAGAGAACCGACGTCTCTAGGACCAACCCGTCGAGAAGCTCACCAAGGGTGGGAAGCCTGCTGCTGATATGCCTTAGATGAAAATGGTCGTTCTGGCATTTCTTGGCAATGCTCAGGTCTGAAAGTTCCAGACACTTGTCTTTGAGCACAGCTAATGTCCCGCTGCTTTCAGCGTCTCCCAAGAAACTGATCCAGGAAAGCTCACTAGATCCCACGAGGCCTGGTTCCGCATCAGATGTCCAGAACTGTTCGACATCTTTCTCGCATGGTCCGGTGGCCGCCAGATCATTCTAGCAATATTCAATAGCGTTGCCAGGATCAATGTGTCAGCCAGGCTGGGACTCATATAGCCTGCTAAACTCCGTGTGAGCAGGGCTCTGAAGTGCAGAGTAGAACCTTTACTGGCATTTCGTATTTGTCCACCTGAGCGGTCTATTCCGCAAATGATTCAGCATGGTTCATGTTCCTAATTGAGTAATCTGTCTGCTCCTGCGGGCATTATGGGTGCACGTGGAAACTTCAAGCCCCAACTTCATCTCCAAACATTTGACCTTATGGGTTAGAGGTCTGCATTCCCAGGAATCGACTAGCGATTGCTCCAAACTACGTCCGCGCATTTAATATTGTCGGTGAAGCCAAAAGGTAGTATGGTGGTCCAAATTGCAGTTGAACTATTTCGGCACTCATGATCCTGACATTCCTTACGGTACCAGATTCAGAAAAGGATATCCAGAATCTCTCAGACGTTGCCTGTTGTCATTTGTCGAGGATCTGCATTGATCATTGGAAATTGGAATGCAATATAGAACTGGCTCCTCCAAGTAGAATATCACTTTCATGCAGACAAGATGAATTGGCAAGGCTACTAGTCTCGCGGCTATCTCTGTCCAACATTCAATGACAGAAAACTTCATCCTTTCGAACCTTAATTACATCTCGTGCGGCTGATGATCGAAGTACCACCCCGTTTCCGACATTGTATCAAATGATTCGTTTATCGTCACCAAGAACACACGAGTTCCACATTGGGCCCCAGCCCCCAGGTGTCCTAAAATGTCACCGTGTCAGTTAACAACTTAACAGACACGTGTGAGGCAGATCAACCTGAAGTATACCTGAAAGATGCATTTCAAGTACCCAGGCCTCTGGCCCGCCTAGAAACTCGATTTGACACTTTCCTAGACCTAAAAAGTAATGTTGCGGCATTCAATAAGACGAGTCGAATGTTCGATTTACGGTTTACCTATGGTGCCTTCGAAGGCCGTTATAATGTCTTCCTACTCCTACGAGGCCCATATCGAACCTAGTTTCATTCGCCAAACTTAAGACCTCGTTGAAAAAGCTAGTATATCGGCCGTCGTGCCATTCCATTTTAGAAAGATTCATTTTCTGGAACCGGTGCTGTGGAGCGAGGTCGTCCATCGAATGGAGTGCCCACTGTTCCATCATGTCATCATTCGGCTTGTTAGATAGGTGTTTCACTTTAGAACTTACTATATAGAAGTGGAACATTGAGCATTGGGATATCTTAGATCCTAGATCATCCAGTTCCTGGAAGTATTCGACGGGTTGCAGTCTTATTACTACGAAAATACTACCTCTTTTGTAATATAATCATCTCCCCCGCCCCTCCTACCCACACTAATGTTTGACAGCATTTGAGGATCTTGTTCGTCTCTACACTTTGTCCTGAAGATTTGCAGATACCATCTATATTATATCAACCTAAATGATAGATATAAGCGCCTCTGGTAAAAGCCTCCCTTCCCAAACCTCTTTAAACCAACTATTTCTCTTCGCTATGTCCTTAAATATAATTTGTAATAGACCAACTCTAACATAGGTCTGCCTATTTGAGGGGTCTCTGGCGAGGACCATAAAGAAATCCTGAAGGGCGTTTTGATCGCCCTTTTCTTTCATCGTCTTGATGTGTAATAGATAAACGACGGCTAAGGCACACCCATGACATGAGTTTGAATCCCTAGGATCACCGAACTTCAACCATTCATGCTGCTCAGAAAAGCGATAATCGCTCCAAAGACTAGCCAAACCATCTCGAAGGTCTATACCCTCGTCGCCGTCCATGAATTGGCATTTGGGGTCAAAGTCCGCAAAGTCCGATGTCCTGTCAGACCTCATATTCGATACATGAAGCTTGAGTTTTCTACTGTTGCGAAAGACTTTTTGGCAGAATCTGCGGACATGACCTTGGCCGAGACTCGTCAGAATTTGTAATTCGGCGGACTTAACGCCCCCAGTAATATCCTCACTTGCCAATTCGTATCTCACTGATTGAATCTTCTTACTTAAAGGCCTGTCAAAGTGGCTCTGCCAGGGTTGAAGATATCTTACGCCCATGCCACTACTGATGGAAGCCCATGACCAAGAAGGGGCTCTCCAACCGGGTTTCGGACTGTAGGAGGGATGGTTGCGGTTCATTTCCATTCCATACCAAAGTAAGTCGTTATCGATGTTGCTTAGCCAAAGGCCGGCTATATACGTATCTTTGGTGATTTCTATCATTTCCCTTGCTAGTCCAGATAATGCCGGGAGAGCATCAGAAGAATTGGTCATATGTAGCAAGCTGTAGGCCTCAACTACGTTTCGCCATCTTGAGTATGGTTTCCTTTCGTCCTTCCCGACCCTCCCAATCCGACGTCCTCCTGTTTTGAGCAACAAATCGTATTTGGCCTTTGTTGGCAATAGAGGCATGCGCGGCTTGAAATGCGAAGCAAGATACCTTGAAGCAGAAGAGCACTCGCAACGGGAACTTTCGCTGCAGTCAAAGGTGAATTCGCGATGGTTGCATTGCAATACTCGTCGTGACAGCAAACGCTCTTGAAAACACCAAGCGCGGGTAAAGAGGGGAAATCGATCTCGAAATTTTTCTTGTGTCGTGATCAAGTCAGATTCCCGAATTGTTCGGACACCGAGAACAGTGTTAACTGTGTTATCCCCCCTCGGGTGCATCAACCGAAAACACAGATCTGGCTTCGACTTCGAGAAGCATCCCCCCTGCGAGTCAGGGGACTGAGTTACGGCAATAGTGAGAAATGAATTTCGGTAAATAGAGACCATCTTTGATGACTCTCGTTCCCAGTCTGCCTTGTTTTTCTGGATAATGCAGAGAGAGTCGATCCAGATATATCGAACGCCAAGCTTTCTGGTGATTTCCATAGCATGTTGGAAATTCAGGGGAAGGCGGTTCCACGGAATAAAGGATTTATATTCATGGACTGTGTCTAACGTCGTCATAGCCGAGATTGGTTTCGTGCCCCAGCAATGGCTGAGGCATATATAGGGGGTTCCTTTTAGGTGGCCTGTTTCTACCAACCGGACACCATGTTCTGAGGTGCGTTCAATTGGGGTCACGTCGATTAGTCTCGTGGGTAAGGAGGCATTTGCGTCATCTGCACAAGACGCATGGTGCGTTGAACACTCCTTAACCCAATGGCTGATTCGGTCAAAGCTAACGGTAGAGGCTGTGTCTCCTAAAAGCAAATTGGATACTGCCATTCCGTAGAATTGAACCGTCGAGTCTGGTTAAATCAGATAGATGTCCAAGGGGACGCGGCGACGCCTCCCATTAAAGCGACCAGAAAGCTTGATTTGGAATGACAAGTGTAGGCGTACCTTGAATAGTAAAAAAGTCTAACTCATTCCTAACCTCTCCGTCTCCGTCTAACACTTGCAACTTAAACATGTCTGATTTCCAGCGAAAGGAATTCCACGGGAGCTGTGAGTTGAAACAAACGGCGATAGCGACATCTAGGATCTCCTTAAAGACCTTACAAGAGCCGCACCCGTTTTTGGCCGAGTTAGCAAGAAATTCAAGCGTAAAGGCGCGTCTCGGCCAGCCGTTTCCTCGAGAATTATTTTCGCTCTCATATATTATCCCACTGTCTTCCCTGAGCTTAGCTCTCTTTTGGTAAGTGTTACGATTCATAGAGCCCTGTCTACGGGTCCGAAGATATTGAGACCAAGAGTCGCAATCTGAGAGGCAGCTTTCAGTACCGACGATTTCAAAGAAGTCCAAGTACTCTTTTGGTTCTTGGCTGCCGTTACAGAGGGCGAGTGCTTCTTCCATGGAAAGCAGTGTAGCAGACATAGCGAACGTCGTTGAAGGTAGTTCAGGACAATCAGGACAATCAGGACAGTTAGGACAGTTAGGACAAAGAGAGGGAGTGAGGGAGTTCGCATCATGCCCACGTCTACGCGTGCAGGGGTTCGTTCCTGGAACTCATGAACCTGACAACATCGGCAACCTAAGAGTTCACTTTCATCACAATGCAACACACCCTAACGGAGAGCCTGGGTTGACAATGGCTTCAATATGATTGCCGCATTGATCATCGCTGCAATCCAGACCACGGTCGCTGTCACGATCCAGGCCTACAATTATGGCCAGAATGTCAAGAACGCGAGAGAAAATCAGGGGTCTTGTCAGCTGTCAAACGGGGTGAAACGGACTCGATTGAAGGACTCGATTAAAGAGTGAAGTAAGTGATCGAATACAGGCACGAATTAGAGTTTATTGCGTCGATACTTTATAACAGTACCCCGAGAACGCTTCTTCATTGTAGGGGGTTCTTCGGTAGAGGCAGCCGATAAGCAATCCGTCCTCACAGAATCCATTTTCCCCAAGGGCCAAAGGCTTTTACCAGCCAATTTTATCACAAGTCTTTGACCGAGAAGAAGATATCCGGTTTGCAGATGTTTAGCTTAGCTATCTAGGATGTGCTTATTCTACAAATAGCATATTTGCCAGCTTAATACGTACCTACCACTTTTCCACATGAGTCCATGACCGTGTCCTGATGCGAGCAAAGTAGGTTGGCAGACTGCGATGCGAGCAAAGTGACCTCGTGAATTTACTTGGCATCACCATGATCGCATCTCTAGCTCCGAAGCAACATGTAAGCTGTAGCCTGTAGCTTGTAATAGCATTGTCCCTCAATTGTGAATCTAGAGTATGCGCACTTCTCTTGTACCGAGGAACACGAAAGAATTATGCCAGTGGGTTAGAGTTCTCTGAAAGGGTAAATGAAGTAATTGTTTGAAGATCTGAGCCGTCAATAATGCTAACGTCTCGGTAGTCATTCGAAAACACAACATGGTAGAGGTGATCACGGTATTCTGAAAGATGCCGTTAGAGAAGGCTTAGCCGCGAGAGACGGAGAGCAAGAGAGAGTGTGGGGGTGGTACCTGGACGTGATTTCCTTGGTTTCGAAGTTAAAAGATCTAGCACAACGTAGTGCTGCATGGTGTTTGATGTTATCATACTGTAATATGCGCCACCAGGCTTGAACCTTTCCATGTGTTCTACCAGCTTATCGCGGTTTCTCAACAACTCAAACCCCCATTTCTTGGCTGAGACAAGAAAGTCGATTGTGCCACCTCCTTTGTCTTTCTTCGCGATGTACTCAGGAGAGATGAGGACCTGTCCATCTAACTGAGTATAAAAGGAGCGGTAAAACTCTTTTTGATATTGATCCTCCAATGGAAGAGTCCCGCCTGCTGACGACCGTGGAGGTTCAGAAAGGTGGCGAGGGATGAAGCCTCGAATAGCGCCTATAGCTAAATCTAATGCCGTTGTAAAGTGAATTACACCGGCGGGCACCTTCTGATGCAACATGTAGGAACAGAACCTAGAACAAAGTCTTAGTGATCAACGGAAAGCGAACTAGAAGCTATATAGACTCACCAACGATGGATGCTACTGGGAAACATGTACTGAACTCTGTAATTTATCTTCTGGGCATACAGCCAGCCATTCCTCCATATCATGTCCAGCGTCTCAACTTCTTTGGTGTCCTTGAAATCATCCGCGATAACTTCATCACAGGCTATCGCTCGCTTGAAGACCGTCGCTACGCCCTGACGCTGGAGAATATCGTCATTTGGCATGCCTCTCATGAAGGGTGCGTGCTTCAGGTAGCGAAATAATCTATCAGGGTGGTTGAACAGGCCTTCGCGAACAGCATCGAGCTCAAGCTGGTGATCATGACGTCTTTGATGTTCCAGTTCCTGAATAGAATAGATTGATGTCAGTTTCAAGATATATGTGACTGCTGGACTGTAGACTACGTAAGACACTTACTGCCGCCTGTCCTAGAACTCCCATGAGTGCGGTGAGGCATCCGACATGCCCATTGCTGATGAGGAACAGCTCATCCATCAAGTCCTTCGACAGGGGAGGAGAGCCCGTCGCGTTCATATACTTCTTCATAACATTAGTTGCCTCCTCGGCATCCAGCAGCAGGCCCAGGACATCCTCATCATCGCAGTCCATTGCCTCTTCGTTAAAAGGTTCCTCAGCACGCATAGAGATCAACTGTCTAGGCCCAAAGGTCATAGGTATCATGAAGTACTTTTGTTTGTAAAACCCCGGGTTGCCTCGGCCGGGGGAGCCATATGACGCAAACGAGATAACACAGGGACATTCGGCAGCAATGAATGGATCGATTCCTTTGAGAAAAACAGACCAGAGGGTGGTGTCCCAATAAGACTCCTGGGCTTCATCGAACAGAAGATAGGCCGGGCGAGTGATCCAAGAATCTCCAATTCCTGTTACCTGCATCAGATAATCGTCCCAACCCCCTGCCTTTTCCACTGCTTCCCTTCCCCAGCCAGTGATAATATGTACCGGCTTTTCTCCCGAATGGCGTGCGAGTAGCTCGTTGGCAACGAGCCTCATTGTGGTCGTCTTTCCGCATGCAGGTGTGCCCTTTACGAGGATCATGCGATACTCTTCGGCTCTATCGATGATGCCATTTACGAGCTGTACTCGAGGAGACACTGACGTCGGCAGCTCTGCGGATTCAGTTAATATCAAAATTCCTTTGCGGTTCAACAATGAATCACTTACTGAAAGGATTTGTTCTTAGTGATCGAGCGACCTTAGAAGGGGGGTTTCGGTCTTTAGGATGTGCGTCAATGACTTGATACAAAACGGCTACATTAGTAGCGGAGGTAGTGCTTACCATGATCATGGTGGACCTCCATCAGATGCCCACAGTTCACACAGGGGATAGAGATGGACGACGTCGGCTGCAGCAGCAAAGCGAGAATGGTGAGAAAGTCGCTATTTGAACTGTCGAAAAGGTTGCGTTTGAGGGAGGTTGGAATTGTTGGCAGCCACGAGATCGATCTAACTTTTAGATAAAACTCGCAAGAAGGACAATGATTGATTGAAGGAGGTAAGTGGCCGCCCACAAGCGAGCCGACGATTACCTACCTACTAGCGGCTCGGCTCGGCTCTTCACACTACCTAAAATGGGGTTGGTGCCGGGGATGGTAGTGGTGGAGAGATCAGGCGGGGTGTGGGAAGTAAATAAATAGATCGCGCTCTCGCTAAGCGAGCCTCCGCGTCCTTTGTTTGCGCTATTCACCGTCATGCCGGAACGCGTTTTCTCAAAATTCAGTTGATAGTGGGCTAAAATCCGATTGTCGCCTTCTGAGGGCACGGTGGGTCAAGCATTGCGCCGTTGACTCTAGTTAACGGCGTCTCGGACGAAGGTTAGTTTAAGGTCACTTTCAGACTGTGGATCCTGCTATTGGCGACGCGATGCTCGAAACTTTTGCAGCAGCTGCGGTACCTGTTGCTCAAGGGTTGTCGCCGGCTCCCAGGTAGTGGCCTCGTAGCCTAACCACTTCACTTTGTACCAGGTTTGTCTGCCCTTACGGCCCGGCGTCCGGCGCGTCTCGCAATCCAATATATCCTCAATGATATACCGCTCTTCGCCATCAACGTGTATTTGGCCGGGTTCCGGTTAAGGTCTGTTAAAGGGGTGTGCTGGAGAGGTAAGGTACGCCATCATCGGACTAGCTTCGAAACTAGGCTGCGCAGAGAGCCATGGGTCCCTACCTCTCCTGCAACGGATCCATGGTGGCTGGAAGGGTCGGTTTCGGGAACGTGATCAGACGTCGTCAAAGTGAAGGGACGCAGATCGGAGACATAGCATCAACGTGGAAAGTGGGCGTAGATCGGGACTTCAAAAGTGAGTGAATTGACCGCGACACTCCTGGATCGGGACGACCGAACCGCGCAGACGTAGATCGGTTGCAAGTGATGTTCTCATGGGCTGTGAAGCGCAGGTGTGATGTGACTGCAATGGATCGCTGAACTTGTAATGGATAGACGAGCTGAGCGCCCATGGTGCAATAGATGGATGAACCTGCGATGGATGAAGTGAATGGGATGGATATGAAAACCTATAATCGTCGACCTCGTTACAGAGAACGCGAAAAGGCGACGCACCTAAGCAAGGTCGACGATTAATAGGTAGGTATACAGTAGTAGAAACCCAACCCATGGGTCCGCCAAGAAACCAAAAACCTATTCCATGGGTTCTAACCTAACCCATATATGGCTGAGAGACATCTCGACTGTACGGGCATGAATAACTCCGCAACCTCATCTAAGCCCGTTCGAGGACAGCGCTCAAGGACCAAAACAGAAACCCCTTGGTGGCGAAGCTCGCATGCTAAAAAGAGCCCAACAGGCCCGCGGCCGACAATGATAATGTCAAAGAGTTGATCTTCCATGTAAAATTGGGCGACAGCTCTCTGTTGCGTCAAGTAACAATGACTACGCCGAGATTCACCGACAACAGGCGGAAATGGCTCTCTGAAAACGACAGTGCCGCTCTTAGACAGTTAGGCTGCGCAGAAACCTATGGGTCCCTACTAAATAGGTTAGGTACCTACCTTATAAGGTAGGTTATAGTAAATAAGACCTAACCTATAGGTCCCTAAATAAATCTACGACCTAACCTATAAGGTAGACCTAACCTATAGGTATAGTATATCCTAAGGTACTAAGGTACCTTTATACTTACGTAATACCTAAGGTTATAATCATTAATTAGTATAAAGATTAGTATAAAGATTAGTATAAAGATTAGTATAAAGATTACTTAGATTAGTATAAAGATTAGTATAAAGATTAGTATAGTTATCTTAAGTTTAAATAATTATAAAATAAATAAATTAAAATAGTTTTATATATATTTATTTTAGTACTTAGGCTCTACTATCCTTAAGTCCTTACCTACTTTGTTACGTAATCTAAAATAGATCTTCTATCTTATAATTCCTATACTTGTTTTCTTAGTATATTAATACCCTTAAGAGTCTTTAGCTTAGATCCTAGAAGTAGAGTTAGTAAAACTAACTCTACACTATTACGATCTTTATTAACTACTAGCTTAAGAATGTCCTTATCCTTAAGGTCTTTTAATAGATTATAGATTAATAGATCTTACGTAGTATTCTTTTTTTTATACTTTACTATTTGTATACTACGTATTTTACGTATAGATATAGAGAGTACTTAGGTATTATCTTAAGCTATAGAACAAGCTTATAAGAGCCTCTTATATATAATAGTATTAAGGCGTCTCTATATCTATAGTGTTTATACTTAATAGCCTAGCCGGTTTAGTTCTCTCTCTTTATTACTAATATAGTAATCTACTACTTACGTATTAACTTCTTTTAGACATAAGTTAATAGATATTTCTTACTCCTTTAGCTTAGCTTCTATCTCTTTTTTAGTTATACTATTAATATTAATAGTATTAGAAAGTATTCTTTTAAGCTCGTTACTTTACTCTTCTTAAAGTTAAGAAAAAAAAACTAATATAAGGGTATAGATAGCTAGAGGTTTAAGTTAGCTATAATAATAACTATATATATTATATAAAAAATTAAAGAGGCACTTAATACTAACGCTTATAAGAGGAATATAGAGTAAGTCTCTAGCTATTACTATAAGGCTAGAGAGACAAGTCTTAAGCTACTACTAAACTAAGAAGAGTATATAGTTATTAGGTTCTAGTTTTAAGTTAGTAATTAGTATAAAGATTAGTATAAAATAACTTACTTATTCTAAGCTATATATTTACCTTATTATCTACTATATCTATACTTAATAATTAATCTTAATCTAATACTAATGTTATAGTATTTATGTTTACCTCTTAGAGTATTTAAAGATAATTAGAATTTCTTATACAATTATAATAGTTCTTTTAGTATAGTTTATAAAACTACTCCTTAAACTCTAATTACTAATCCTTTACTTTAAAATTAAGCTAATAATAGTTAGGATTAAAAGTCTCTAATTTTAACCTTAGGTTTAAGATTATACTTATTATATAAATACTATTAAGATCTATATATATCTTATTATAGTATTAGTTAAGTTTAGCCTTAGTAGCGTTAATACCTTAGATAAGAATACAAACCTATAGTTTTTAATTAACTTTTGCCTTTAGTTAATAGTAAGATTTAGTTAGGTATTTAAACAACTTGTTATAGATCTATAAAGTATATAGTAAGGTAATACTCTTTGTCTTACTAATAGTAGTTATAAAAAAATTAAATAAGTAAAAAAGATTAATTAAATATCTGATTTAATCTTACTTAACGCTTAAGATCTAAAATAGGTATACTACTATATAATCTTTATAAAATTTGTTAATAGCGTTCTAAAGTCTTATTACCTAAATTAACATTAAAATAGTAGAGTCTTATTAAGTAGCTACGTCTATAATTAATTAAAGAGGACGTATTAGATTATTATAAGCTAGCCTGTTTTAAATCTGTTTAAAATGTTCTTATCTTTACTTACTTAAGTTAACTAGTACTATAAGCTTTTAAATCTATATCTAATTAGTATAAAGATTAGTATAAAAATTATAACTAATCTATACCTTTACTAGTATATATAGTATGCCTTAGTTACTTACTTATTATATCTTTTTAAGCTTGTCTATCTCTTACTTATTCCTTTAATCTTAAATAAATATTTTATTTATTAGTTATAGTTAAATTATACTTAAGAGCGCTTTTATAGTAAGCTAAAGAATATATAATAAATAAGGAATATATTAGATTTACTTATTAAGAAAACGACTATTCTTTAGTACGTCTTTAAGATACAAATTAATTTTATCTACTATTATATAGTTATTACTAGTATTATTAGTTATAATTAATATTACTTGACTAGTTAGGTTAAGATTTATTAGTAAATCATTAATAACTATTACTAAGGCCTGTTCTAAATAAACATTATATAGGTTTTTAAACCTAATTAACTCTTTCTAAAGTACTTAGTCTTTATTAATATAATATACTATAACGCCTATAAACAAAAGGCGTGTAAGACTTAACTAATAATTAAGAGATAAGGCTACCTTACTGTCTAGTACTAGGTTTATAAGTATGTTCTCTTTAACTTAGGTAACGCGCTATATTAGGTAAGTCTATATAGTTATTACTAATAGTAATTAAAAACAAGGATTTAATAGCTTTAATAGCTGTTAGAGATTAGTGTTTTTTATAGTCTAAAAAGAGAGTTATAAAGAAACAATCGTTTTAAAGACCTAGTCCTAAAAAGCCTTAGTTATAAGGGTAGTAGACTATATATACTAGTTAGTTTATACTAATCTTTATACTAACTAGTTATACTTATAGTTATAGATAATAAAATAGCCTTATAAAGAGAAAGTTGTCTTTATAAGCCTTAACTTTAACTTATAGATACATTAATATATTGTTTAGACGTTAGGTATTTTATAAGAGTAGTAGTACTAGTTATAAGTACTCTTAAATTAAGATAAGTAAGTATTATAAAACACTTCTAGTATATAACTACTAGTTTACTAGTATACTAATTTGTAGCCTAGTAGAATTATTACTAGTATACTAATCTTTTAGTTATGTCTTAACTTAGCTATTTTACTATATTAGTATTATTTAAACCTACTATTATAGCTACCTAATCTGTCTATAGCTACTAGGTAAGAAATTAGTAATGTTAGTCTTTAGTCTACTAGAAACATTAATTTCTTTAGCTAATAGTATTTAGTAAAGGTCTGTTAGTAATAGTGTTATTACTAAATAGGTTTATAGCTAGAGAGGAATTAGGAATAAATATAGTAGTAGATAATAAAGACATTATATAATGTTATAATTATAAAGAGTAGTTTTTAATAATACAAATGTTTAGAAGAGTAAGTTGTGTT